TCTTTTTATTTTTTGGAGTCATACATCTCGATGTCGAGATGATCAATCAAAGGGTTTTTCAACATTAAAACGACCTTTTCTCATGGATTTTTGAGGGGCATCAATAGTTCTACATTATAAGGTAGCTCCATTATGTAAACTTATTCCTTTTATATTAACGAATCGTCGTAAAGATTAGAGCGTACTTCCTTTTCAGATTGGGTAGCCATTATTGTTCAGTGGAATAGCAACTTTTTTTGGTTCACGAGGGACTACAAGGTAGATTGAAGAAAAGCTCAGCTGCTTTGGTTTTGTAAACTAAACACTCCACCCTACCTACTAATGGCCTTTTCCCAGGGGATAAGTTTTCATGCATTTCATTTCATATATCTCATATGTACAACAAATTTAGAGATATTTTGGATATTTTTTATTTAATAGTTTTATTTTTTATTTAATTTTATTTATAAAATTAAATCTACACCTTAAACTTGGGATAAAATATTATTTAAATAAAAAAATAGAAATAAAATGTGAAATCAATTAATGGTCGATACCCGATAGACAACCTCCTGAAATCTCAATTATCTCCTCATCATGTGGACATGATACTTTTCCCTCTAAAAAAAGCCCCAATTTTCACGAATTGGCGTTGGGCTTTTCCATCTTTTACCTTTTAATGGTGAAATCTACATTGTTTTCTAAACATAATTTTTTCGATTGTTCAATAAAGAAGGAATCATTTACTTGTAGTAAGAGTGAAACTCAAGACGTAAAGTCATGGCGCTCCACTGTCACCTAACATTACAAATAATAATGTTTAAATTCTTTCTTAAAAAACCTTAATCCCTATGTTGCATCAATTTGGATAACGCATTCTAGGATATATACGGGGGACAATAATGAGAGTAAAAGTCACATTCCATGTACGTGTGAACATGTGCGATAAATGAGTGTGTATCATGCATGTGGTACTGCTTCAATGAAAATTCTCTTGGATATGGTCGTTGGCAAAAAGTGAGTAGTACACATTATTGGCCTTTCAAATAAAGGTGTCGTTTGCATAAGGCTATAACCCTTATTGTAAAAGTGAGGTTGCGGTATTTTATACCATTTATTTTAGTTAAGCATTATAGATTTAACATGTTTTTTAATGTAAAAAAGCGATACATCTTTTGAAACAATATCAAATCTACATTGTTTAGATAAATGGATGGTGTAGATTAATACAACCTTGGTTCTACAATCAAGGTTGAATCCTCATGTAAACGTTTTCCTTCAAATAAAATTTACTAATGGCATTAATAAATTTGAATCTAATGCTTTTTTTAGAATGATTAACCTTTTAGCCCTCCCTTCCAATGATCTAAAAATCTTCTGAAGGACACCTTATGGATCAAGACTCAAGATATTTTAGGGACAAAAATGTGTAGTTGTCCCCGGTCTCAAATATTCAATAAGAGATTATCTATTATGAAATCATTTATTTTTTGTATAAAGAGGTCATGATTAGTTTTAGCTATTAAATGTGAAATCCATTTGATTGAAGTGTTTTCAAAACACTTGAAAACTTTTATTTTGGACTTCGTGCTTAATCAATGACATATAACTAACCACCCAATTTCACATTCAGATGTCAATGATAGTTGTGAACTCCTTTGTAGGGGTGGCAATGGACCTGGACCCGACCTATACCCACCGGGTATACCCGACACGGTCCAAGTTTTGGACCTACGGGTAGGGTCCGGGTCCAATAAAAGACACCTGAACCGAATTTTTAGTTTACCCAAAGACAAAAGTCCCAATCCTAAAATCATTTCAATACTTTTGGTCTTCCCTTAGTTTCCCCAAACGGCGAAACCGCATTTCTATTTTCCCTCTCTCAATTTCTTGGAGACATAGCTCTCTCTCTCTGGATCCTTCTCTCTCTCTCTC